AATACGGCTCGAATATGATACTTACTATATCTGTATCCGCTTGTCCTTCACGGATATGAATACGAATATAGATATGTCACTGCTAAAATTATATACGGATACAGACATACAAGCAGATATATGCGAATACTAAACAGATATGAGAGAACCAAATAATATAAAAAAAAATAGTTCATGTGATACAAGGAAGTTCATTAATATGTTCCTTATATCTGAAAAGTTAAGATTAAATCTCTTGATCAGCAAAATTAGTTTCAAATCTATTAATCTAAGAATCAAAACAATAATTCACATATTCCTTATACATATCCAAAATTTAGCAACTATATCTATATCTTAGCGGATATGGATGCAGATATATCCACGATCTCCACTCCTACCTCAAACCATTTAAATTGTTATCCTTTAATTTTTAGGTTATTTGAAATTATTTTCTTCCAATAAAGAGTAGAAGTAGGAATAAAGGAAAACTAATCAGTCAAATCATTGAAATTGTTATTAGGTATCCTAATTCTCATAGATCATCTCAAATTAATGTCTATAATTGCTAAACTTTATTTATGTAAGGAGTAGTTAAATATAAACTATAAGGTTGTGTTTTGTAAAAGAGCTTGACTTGAAAATGGCATGTTTTAACTAGACAATAAGAAATCAAACTCTATGTCAGAATGATAATGATGAAAATTCCGCATCCAATTTATCATTGATAGTACATTTTTCAAAATTTTAATGACTATTTTTTTCAGTCTTAAGTTAAAAATAAACCACCATATAATGTGCAATTAGAAACTTAGGTCATTTAAGATTAATGGGAAGTGTCCGATAAAAAATAAAAAATAAAAAGACCACAAATAAAGACATGCGAACAAAAGTAAGGGGGAACAAAATACGGAAAAGACACAAGTGATTGAAGGAACGAAAGAAGAAAATGTCCTACTTAAAAATCAACCACAAAATATAAACCAAATATAAAAAAATAGCTTTGTAAGCATAGACCAAAATGGTAAATTTTGCAAACTCACTCACAGATGTCCATCCAACACAAAGGCATAAAGTTTAAAGCCATGTTTCATGTCCTGCTACATAACACATCCTTTGTGTTATCTTACTGTACTAGAAAACTTGCAAGAGCATCATTATCAAGGTCATCATACACAAGCACGAGAAAATGTCTAAGCAAAAAATGTGGGGAAAAAATATGCACATGACAAATATCATTGGACTCCAGAAATCATGCAAACTAGACCTGAACTTTTTGTTGTTTGGACCTCAGACAGAAGAACAATGCAAACATATTGTGAGGAATTACTTGAGCTTCATTTGCTGCTGTCCTCCACTTCTCATCATAGCACAGAATTCCTCATAATTGATCCTTCCATCCTGCATCATGATACAAAAAACACAATTTAAATAAAATTTGCATCATGATACAAAAACACATATTTAAATAAAATTCAATTGCAATTTCAATAAAATTCAATCTCAACTCGAAATTATGCAAATTCGATTTTCACTTACATTATCTGAGTCAACTTCAGATATTATGTCCTTGATTGTGGCATCATCCCCCAATCCATGCTCCTTCATCGCCATTTCCAATTCGTCCCTGGTAATAAACCTGTGAAAGGAGAATTACAGCAGAAAATTCATTAATTATGAAGCCCCAAAATCTTGATTCAGGCAGCTTAATGAAAGAATTAGGCAGTTCTTTTAGTACATAACAAACCAAATAGTAACAAATAAAAAGTAAAATTTAAAACTATGCAATTCACCCGCTGTTATCCTTATCAAAGTATTGAAAGGCTTTGAATAAATGCTCATCTCTTTCCAATCTGTGCCTATGCATTGTAGCAGTAATAAACTCGATGTAATCAATAGAACCATTGCCATCAACATCAGCCTGAAAGAGATCAGAAACTTATGTTATTGCTGAAAGAGAGAGATAAAGGTAAAAAATACACGAGAGGAAGAAAAACGGGACAATTAAACTTACAGCCTCCATGAGTTGCTTTACTTCAGCCTCAGAGAGCTTGGAACCAAGCCGAGCCAAACCAGATTTAAGCTCTTCATATGTGATGGTACCACTCTTATCAGTGTCCATATTGGTAAACATCTGTTTGAGCCCTTTGATCTCTTCTTCAGAGAGATTCTCCGCAATAACCTAAAAAAAGAGGGTCAAGATTAGATTATTCCAAATGGAGGCAAAATGAATTTTGCAAAGTAAACCTTGAGAGCCATCTTCTTTAGTTTGTTCATTGCTCTGAATTGCTTCATCCTGGAAAGCACTGCGCTGTCAATAGGTTTATCAGATGCACCGCCTTCTTTAATCCATGGATGTTCTGTGAGAAATTGGCAAGAAAACCATATAAGGTGCCGAGAAAAATCATTCAACTTTTTAATCATATCTTCTTGAAAAAAAAAGTAAAGTTAGTTGCTGATAGACCCCCTATATTATTTCCCAGTTGCAAATAGACCCCTTCAGTGAACTTTTCCTTTACCTAAGAAAAGAGTTTTTTATTTTATTTTATTTTATTGGACAAATAAACCCCTGAGGGTAAAAGGGTCGGGGTCTGTACAGGCGTCTACCCGCAACAATGGAACTGCAGGGTGGTCTATCCACAATTGGAGAATAGAACATGGAGTCTGTCTGCCAATTAACCAAAAAAAGTATGCTTACCAAGGACCTGGGATGCAGTAATTCTTCCCTTTGGATCCTGGGTCAGCATCTTCCTGATAAGATCTTTAGCACTATCTGATATAGATGGCCATGGCGAACTTTCAAAGTCAATGTCACCTTGCAATATAGCATCAAATATTCCTTTCTCGGTTTCTGATAAGCAAAATAAATTTAAATAACACTTAGTACCTCTTTAACTAAAAAAACGGAATATTTGTAAAGATATATGGCTCCTATGGGCAAAGATCAGTTTGAATGTGTTAGTACCAGCCCAGAATGGAGGTACACCACTAAGAAGAATGTATATGATAACGCCAGCGCTCCATATATCTATTTCCTTTCCGTAGCTGCGTCTTAGAACTTCAGGAGCAACATAATAAGCACTTCCAACTATATCTCTGTACACTTTTCCTGGATTCAATTCCAATAAAACATAACCAGTTTTATTGTTATGATTATAAGACAGTAGTCAATTTGCAAAATAACTCAGAATCATTTTTCATGTGATTAAAGTATAAATATCAACTGCTATAAAGTGAAGTAATGGGCAAAGACTGAAAGGTGGCAAGAGAAGAATATATACTGACATGTAAATCTCAGAATGTCCTGGACAGAGGTAGATATACTAATTGATAAAACACGATATTGTTGCTAGCCAAAACCTCTGATGGCCAGTTTCCTGTACACTTGACTGATTATAGCATCCCATGGGTGGAGGTTTAAAGTACATATCAGCATACATAAAGTATATGAAACTTCAGTGTTTGTACTGTACTGTTGGCATGTGGCTGAGATCTAACAATATTAAGGAAATAAAACCATTACACATGAAGTATATCAGCAATCAGTGTTTGGTCTATAAAGATGACATGTGTTTGAGAGTTCATAATGTTAATGAAACAGAACCATCATTTGTGACAGCTTGGCCACCTGGTCTATAACAGTATAAATATGCCCTAGACCATCAATGGCATAATAATTGGAAAATGGCTTACAAAAATACCTATGCTTCAGGAATCACTTGTGCTTAAAACCACGTCGACTGACTATTTTAATTAATCTAAAATATTCTCCCTAGGAAATTAAGCAATCAGCAAGATGAAATATAAGAGCTCAATTGATAAGAATGATCTAATATATTTGATTGAAATAAATTATATTCAAGATCAAGCCGGAATTTGCCTCTAGAAAATGGATACATTAATTTTAAGCAATTAGGTGCTTATTCAGAGTTATCTTAAAGATCAGCCTAGAATATTCCTCTCTAAGAATGTGTACAAATGTCTGAACTTAGTTACTCCTCAAGATTGAAATTTAAAAAACCCAAAAGTCCAGACCAGTTGCCCTTTTTTTCTCTTTCTTTTACTTCTAATCGCTAGGTTCCATTTCATTCATACATGAACTTAAGGATTAGATAAAAGGTTGGTGTCTTAACATGAATACGACTTTATGAAATGTCTTCCACGAGGTTATAAGTAATGAGATCAATCAAAATTATTACACATATTATCAAATTGGCAATACATTTGAGAAGTGTCTCACAAGTGTCCAAGGAATGTCCTAAGTTGTCGTTTTCTTGACATGGGTATGGCTCCATGATAGAAATTTACATACTAATGTTATATAGCTTCCACAAGGTTATGAAAAATAAGAGGCTAAGAGCGATCAAATCTTTTGTGTTGTTGATTAGCACTAGTGCACCAGATTTTACTTTATATTATGTGAGAGATAATTCAAGATAGTATAGAACTAGATGCAAATATCAATAGATGAGAAGATTATACTATTGCCTATGTTTTTCTTAGAGATTCATTTTCTATATCCTCCACTAACTAATGCCTTAAGTGAAAGACAAAACCATTATTAACACTAAAACAGTTTGATAAACATGTAAAATCACATAATTCTCAATTCCACGTCCTATAAAGTTACAATTAAAAGCATCCCCCATAAGTGGAGCATAGCTAGAAGTAGATACATTCAAAGGCATAAATTTCCTTTCCATATTAAACTCAACAATCAACTTGCTACTATCGTATAATATTTCTGAAATGCATGTTATAGTAGGATTGTATAATTAAGAGTCTAAGAGATAACTTACCGTCCTCAATGAAAACCGAAAGCCCAAAATCTGTAGTTTTAAGCATCGCCGCCTCATCCTTTGTAGCAAGCAAGAAATTCTCCGGCTTAAGGTCCCGATGCATCACACCCATAAAATGACAAATATTCACCACATTAACAATTGCCCGACAAATTCCAGCAGCAGCTTTCTCGGTATAATGCCCCTTTGCAATTATCCTATCAAACAACTCTCCACCGGCACACAACTCCATCACAAGGTTCACCGATTGCTTGTCCTCATAAGCTCCTTTGAATTCCACAATATTAGCTTGCCCTGTCAAATGCTGCATAATCTGAATCTCTCTACGAATATCCTCTCTATCGTTTTTATTATGAAGCTTTCTTTTGGAAATGGACTTGCAAGCATAGGCTAAGCCAGTTGAATTCTCTGTGCAAAGGTATGTAACTCCAAATTGGCCACGGCCGAGTTCCTTGCCTAGAGTGTATAAAGATCGGACATCTGAGTAGGGTTTGCCAAGGATTGTGTCGGGTTGAAAAAGAGGTTGGGGTTTTGGAGTTGGCTTTGGTTGAGATTGTGGAGCATATCGAGAGCCGGTTTGAGCTTGGTTAGATTGCTGATAAGCTTGTTGTTGGGTTGGAGGTGGTGGTGGTGATGGCTTGCTTGATTCATAAGGCCGTGGCCTTTGGTTTGAGGAATAGCCGTTGTTGGGCTCTGGTCTTGGGTCCTTCTTGCTGAAACATAGCCCCATTTTTTATTTCTTCTGTTGAGAATTTTACTGGTGGTG